CCCCCAGCCTGGAGAGGTAAGTGCAGGCACCCCCCAGCCTTCACTGCAGCCAAAACCCAACGGGGGGCTGGGGAGGTGGGCGTTACTTGGGAGAATAAATCGCATCCCCCATGGAGAAATGAGCCCAGTGCACCAGTGGGCTTTGGGAGCCCCTAACCCCCGTTTTCTCCCCCCAGGCCCAGAGGCAGCCAACAACAACGTGGGGCTGCAGCAGACCTGGCCCCGCTGCCCCCCTGGCCCCTGGGAGCCGGAGCGTGCAGCGGCCGCCCTGCCCAAGTGAGGGCTCAGCCTCGGTGGGGGCACAGACACCCCTGCCCACCCAGGGGGACCCTGGTGTCTGGGCACCGTGGGCATCGTCACTGCCACCCCTTGGCTGGACCAGGACTGATTTTCAAAAGAAAAGATGGTAACCTCGACTTTTCTGTGGGGGCTGAAAGCCATGTTACTTTGGAGCTCCCTACTAGCACCTTCCCATTCTCCAGCCCCAACAGGGACAAGCTGGGGTCCCCTCCTGCCCCCCCAGTCATCTTACACCCCCAGGCTCCTCTCTCCAAAGTGTGGAGCAGATGGGACAGGGTCACCTCGCCAAGGCAGTTCTGGGATGTGGGGACAATGGGGGATGCTGTTCAGGGGTGTGTGCTGTAGGATGAGCATTGGGATTGGCATCCTTGGTGCATGAGCTGCTGACTTTCATGGGGGACCAGCCCCACCCCAATTTTGCTGGCCCATGCCCCTGCCCTGCCGTGCACTGTGCCCAGGCCACGGGATGTCCCCATTAATGCAGTGGCAGTAATGGTGCCCCCATAGCTCCCCTCCCTCTGCTTTCCTGAGCAGCCTCTGGGCCCCTGAGGTGTGGCAGGGGTGGGCAGGAGGCCTGGTACTGCCCCCAGCCCAGTCACCAGCCCGTGGGGCACTGACAATTTATCCTCTCTGTCTTCCGCCCTGCTGTGAGCTCAGGGCTCTGGGCTGTGCCCTCTCTCTGGAACAAGTGCCAAAAGTGTCACCCCCATGCCACCCGTCCTGCCCTCCCCGTAACACGTTGTAGCAAGGGGTGGGTGAGGGTGTGGGAGCTGCCCCCATCTCCATCCCCATCCCTCTGGGCTGACAGCATAAGTGGATTTTGCTCCAAGGGCAGACACACAGGGATAGTAAAGCAGGAGGAATAAAGCCACAGACCTTGGGGGCCTGGTGGGGCCGCTGGCAGTGCCAGGCTCTGCTCCAGAGAGCACCAGGGACAGTCAGAAATCACTTGGAGCCCCATCAGACCCTGCATCCCAAGCTAGCGGGCTCTGGGGCTGTTTGGGGCAGCCCAGGGTGGGAAGCTGAGCCTCCCTTTTCCCCACCTGGTTTTGTCACATGGCTGTGGCAGCACAGGCCACCTCCTCTTTGCAGGACACAGCTGTGTTTCAGAGCCACCTTAGCACAGAGATGTTCGTGCACTGAAAGCAGCATCCCTGGAGGGGGTGGTGTGGGAAGCAGGTTCCCAGTGCCACCCCCACAGGCTGTGCTGATGATGGCTGTGGCTCCCAAAGAGGGGTGCAGCCCTTTTTGGAGCTGGGGGTGTTTTCTCTGGCTGGCTCACAGCCAAAGCCATGGTAGCTGCTTGCTCTGTGGCCCCACTGTGGGTCCTGCCAGAGGTGGGTTTGGAGCCAGCCATCCCACTGCTCTCTCCTCTGGGCTGGCTGTGTCTCCTCTAAGCTCAACAGCTCCCAAATTCCTCCCTGGGACCCCAGGGCTGGGCGCTTGATGTGAGGGGGGTGACATCTCCAAAAGGCCATCCTGTGGCATGCGAGGTGGGAGCTGCAAACAGCAGGGAGGGCTGAAGTGGTGGGGACAAGCCTTGTGCCCTGTTTGGGGGGACGTGCTGGGTGTCCCAGCCTGAAGGAGCCACAGCACCACACAGGGAGAGCTTTGGAGGTCGTGCTGAGCTGAGAAAACCACGGCAGCCATCTCTCCCCTAAGTCTCAGCACGGGCAGGGGAGAGAGAACCGGGCTGATGCTCCAGGAGCATCTCCTCTACCAAAGCCCACCTTCCTCGTGGTTTCAAAGGGGACAAGGACAGCTGGCCTGGCACCCTGGCACAGGCTGCTTGTGGCTGCCAGCAGAACAAGGAGGACTTAGGAGAGACCGTGAGGGTTTTCTGGCTCCTCGGAGCGGTGAGAAGGCTGCAGGAGCGGCCAGACAAACGCATGGGGTGGGCGCTGGGTGGAGAGGAGCCGGGAGGATGCTGTGGCCGAGCGGTGCTGCTGCCTGGCTGCCAGCAAGGAATCCATCCTCTGGGTGGCACAGGAGAGACGGGATTTGGGCGTGGGTGACATCAGTGCCGTCCTCGGCCACCCAGAAGGGACAAGGGGCAGGCAGGAGCTGCCAGCGCGGCGTGGGCTGGAAGGTGGCAGCCCCTTGTTCCAGCGACCCACGTGTCAGGGATTTAAGGAAGGAAACCAGATTGCTGCTTATGATTTTGCTTTGAGCATGTTTTGGATTTTAAGAGTATGTTTAATAAAGGGTATCTTACGTGGACGAAGTGTCCAGAGTCATTTTGTGGTGGCAGGGTGAGGGCAGTCGGGGTTTTGGGGGTTTTGTGTGTAAAAACCCTTTTTGGCTGGGAGCACCCACTCACCTGTCACCCAGGCACCTTCTCCAAAACAGCCCAGCTGATCCAAATGTCCTAAAACACTTCTCAACCTGCATTCCCAACTATCCTAAATACTGCCAGGATGGAGAAGGGGCAAATGCAAACTAAACCTCTGCAGGAAGTCTGGCCTGGGGTAGAGGCATCTTCCTGCTCTGTGGTGTGGGTGGCCCCTGTCACTGCTGGGATGGATGAGGACACCCAGAGGGAACTTTTCCTGGGGGAGAAGAGGAGGAACAAGGAGCTGGGAACACATGCCAGAGAAACCCCTCCAGTGGTGGGGAAGAAAATGTGTGCTGAGAGCTGAAGGCTTGAAGGTGAGGAGGGCTGTAAGGGGGGTTATATTTTGGGTTTAGTGGAAGGGGCTGATGATGGTGGGGCAAAGCAACTTGCAGCTGAATCAGAGTCAGAATCAGAATCAATCAGATTGGAAAAGGCCTCTAAGATCATCGAGTCCAACCCATGACTGAGCAAGCTCGGGGGGAATGTCTTGCAGATGGTCAGATCCTTCAAAGGGGTCCCTCCCTGGCCTCTGATAAAGCTCTCAGAACAGCAGTTAGGGGGTAGGGAATTCTTAGAGAAGCCAGTGGCTGTAATTTTTTAATTAAGTGAAGGCAGACTCCATCCTTTATTTTTGGAGTCTGCCAGCCCACCTTCAGCTTTGCCCTCATTGCTGTGGGTGCATCAGGAGCAAGAAATGGGATGGGGGCACAGGTAGGAGGAAAAGGGCTGGGGTTGCCCCTGGAGGGGCAGGACACAGGCGTTCATAGAATCACAAATGGTTTGGGTTGGAACAGACATCAAAGATCATCCAGTTCCAGCCCCCCCACACCACAGGCAAGGACACCTTCCACTATCCCACGCTGCTCGGATCCCCTTCCAACCCGGCCTCGAGCTATTCCATGCACAGCTTCTCTGAGCAGCCTGTCCCGCCAGCCTCAAACAACCTGTCCTGTGATCCAGTCTAAAGCTGCTCTCCTTCCCTTCGAAGCCGTTGTCCTTTTTCCTATCGCCACACGGCCAAAGTCCCTCCCCAGCCTGCTCACGGCTGCCCTGGGGGGCCGAAAAGCCGCCAGGAGGGGATCGGGTGATAAGGTGATAAAGAGATTGATAAGGTCATTGATAATGTGATAAGGTGATTGATAAGGGGATAAGGTGATAAGGTTATAAGGTGATTGATAAGGGGATAAGGAGATTGATAACGTGATTGATAAGGGGATAAGGTGATAAGGTGATTGATAAGGGGATAAGGTGATAAGGTGATTGATAAGGTGATAAGGAGATTGATAAGGGGATAAGGGGATAAGGTGATAAGATAAGGTGATAGGGTGATACATAAGGTGATAAGGTCATTGATAACGTGATTGATAAGGGGATAAGGTGATAAGGGGATAGGGTGATAGGTGATAAAGAGATTGATAAGGTGATTGATAAGGTGATAAGGTGATTGATAAGGGGATAAGGTGAGAAGGTGAGAAGGTGATAGGGCGATAAGGTGATAGGGCGATAGATAAGGTGAGAAGGTCATTGAGAAGGTGATAAGGTCATTGATAAGGTGATTGATAAGTGGATAAGGTGATTGATAAGGCGATAAGGTGATAGGGCGATAAGGTGATAGGGCGATAGATAAGGTGGTAAGGTCATTGAGAAGGTGATAAGGTCATTGATAAGGTGATTGATAAGGGGATAAGGTGGTTGATAAGGTGGTAAGGTGATTGATAAAGTGATAAGGTGATAAGGTGATTGGTAAGGGGATAAGGTGATTTATCAGGGGATAAGGTGATTGATAAGGTGATTAGGGGATAAGGTGATTGATAAGGTGATTGATAAGGGGGTGATAAGGTGATAGATAAGGTGATAAGGTGATTGATAAGGTGATAAGGTGATTGATAAGGGGATAAGGTGATTGATAAGGTGATAGATAAGGTGATAAACTGATTGATAAGGGGATAAGGTGATTGATAAGGGGATAAGATGGTAAGGTGATTGATAAGGTGATAGATAAGGTGATAAGGTGATTGATAAGGTGATAAGGTGATTGACAAGGTGATAAGGTAATTGATAAGGGGATAAAGTGATTGACAAGGTGATAAGGCGATTGATAAGGGGATAAAGGGGTTACAAGGTGATTGCTAAGGTGATAAGGTGATAAGGCGATCGATACGGTGACCCCGGATCCCCCGACCGCCCCGGGCTGGGCGGGGTCCCGCGGGCACCGCCCCCGTCGCCATGGCAACGCGCGGGCCAATGGCGAGCCCGGAGGATGTTGACGGGGCGGGGCGTTGCCGTGGCGACGCGCGACGCCTCCCGGGGCCGCTACTTAACCCGGCGGGGCGGCCGCGGCTCCCGGCGGCTCGGCGGGCACGGCCCGGCCCGGCCCCACACCCACCGGGCTCTCTTTCCCCGTTGCTTTTCGTCCTCCCCCCTCCCCTTTTATTTTTTGTAATTTTTTGGTATTTTTTCCCCCGTCCTCTCCAGTTTTTCCAGAAGCTTCTTAGCGTGTCGTGAACTTTGCCTCTCGGGGGACGACAGCGACACCGGGACGGGGTAAGGGGATGCGGCGGGTCTGCGCGGGGGAGCGGCTTTGGTTATGTGTCCTCCCGGCCCAAACGCTCGGGATTTCGGGTTTGCATTCACATCCCCGACACAGGACTCCCCAAAGTCTGAAGCGGGCTCGCTCTGACTGCGGGTGTGCTTGGGGTGGGACCCCCCCAGTTCCCCCAAACCACCCCTGAGTTGTTTCTGGGTAGCACAGGAAGTAAAAGCAGAAATAGCATCAAATTGAGAGAAGTTGGCTGCGAGGGGGGAAATTTCGAAGTATTTTGCCCTGGTGTGGAATGCTGAGAGTTAGTCCTGTGAGTGTTAGGTATTCAGAGATGTGTGTTCCCAAGAAATATCCTGACTTTTTGGGATGGCAGGGCTCGATTTTGGTATTTTGAGGTGTTTTCTGTTGTGTTTTTTTTTTTTTAAATTCTTTATTCAGCTGAGAGCTTGCTGGGCAGCGGGTTGGTGGGTGACACTGCGGTGTAGGAGTTTGAGGGAATTTCCCCGAGGTTTGAGGGTGCTAAAGCCCCTCGGGGCAGGCATTGCAGGTCCCTTGCAGAGCACACCAGGGATGGGTCTCACCCAGCAATGCCGGGAGCACCCAGAGCTGGCCCTGCCTGGCTGTCAGAGGCTGCACCTTGTGGAACCTCACCCCTGTCCCTGTTGTTATTGCAGGATTTGCCCCATCCCTTCCCTCCCGTTCACGTGCAGCCTGGGAAGCACTGAGGGAGGCATGGCGTGGCCCAGCCGAGCACTGAAAGCCAAGGGCAAACTGGAGGAAGACCTGGATGACAGCCTGCCAGACCTCATGTGGCTGAGGGACTTCACAGTGGCCCAGACTGGCCTGCCTCAGTTATACTCTGGCTCAGACCCCCAGGATTGCTACACCATGAGTGAGAGTCTGTTCAGCCTGGTTGATTTTGAGTCCCCGTGCTCACCCCTGGCTGCTGACCCGGCCTGCAAGGGCACACGCCACACCCCCTGCACGCCCGTCTCCTCCTCCACCTCCTCCACCATGCACCACGACCTGGCTGTGCCCCCTCATCTGGCAGGGGACATCGACTACAAGACCAACCCTCATGTCAAGCCACCCTACTCCTATGCCACCCTCATCTGCATGGCCATGGAAGCCAGCAATAAACCCAAAATCACCCTCTCTGCCATCTACAAGTGGATTACTGACAACTTCTGCTACTTCCGACACGCTGATCCCACCTGGCAGGTAGGAGATGTGGAGCCGTGGCCACTCTCCCTGCAGGGCTGAGCAGGGCTTTCCACAACCTCCACTCTGCAAGACGAGATCATGCAGGGGTGCTGGATCCCACTGGGAAAAGAGTGACTCCAGTGGGGAAGGGCTGGAATGGGAAAGAACTTGGCTGGGCACAAATGCCACGGCCCCGGGGGGGGCAGAGGGAAGGAGCCATTTGGGGGGAGAGCCCAGGACCATTTTGGGAGCAGGGAGGCACTTGTTGGGCTCCTGGCACCTGAGACTCCTCTTGGCTTCAGGGCAAAGGCCTTTTGGTCCCTACATTCCTGGAGTTCTCATGGAGTCCCTCAGGGTTGAGCACACGTGGAGAAGGTGCCAGGTCGAGTGTCCCTGGGTGCTGAAAACCAGGGATGGAGATGCCACTTGTTGGACAAGTCTCCCACTGGGGAGGTTCTGAGCAGAAATGCTGCTGGTTTCTAAGCAGGGCAGAGTACTGGGCTCCTGGCACCAGGGACAGGCCAAGGAGGCTCCATCACTGGGATGAGCTGGTGAGACCTGCAGAGGGAAGCCCAAGAGGGGTTAACTCGAGCTGCTGTCCTCAGCTAGCAGAGCATGTCCCCAGTGGGGAGGTGACAGCCCCCGGGCTCACAAGCTTTGGGGACAGCCCAGGGGCTTTCCCAGCCACCTTGGCTCACTGCCCTCCTCTGTCACACGAGGAGACCTCTGGCACGTGAGATTTTCTGGGATATGGCAGGGCTGGAGGGCCCTGGGGGGCTCATCCCTCCACTGGGGTTATTCCCATCCCAAATCTGCAGCGTGTCGCTAATCCTGATGGCAGTGCCCATCCAAGCAGAGCTGGAGAACCCCACTGCAAAGCTCAGGCATTGCCCACCTTCTCTCCAGGCAGGTGGGTCTCCAGTGGCTCTTGAAGCCCATCATGGGGAAGGAAACATTCCTGGTCCCCCTCCATGGCCATCTTAGTCCCCCTCTTACACTCCTATGAAAGTGATTTGGAAGCAGGAGCTGGGTGCCAACAGGTTGACTTTCTCCTGCACACTTCATGGCTGGGAATTTGCAACATTTTTAATTAAATGTGTTCATTAAAAAAAGAAAGAAGGTTTTCAATCCCTCTCTGCAGAGATGCAGGGGGTATCCTGGACCGTTGCAGGCAGGAATGATAAATATGTTGACTGGCTGAGTAATAATTCAGCCTGGGCTGAGCGAAGTTTGGGAAGGGGAGGAGAGATGGGCAGCAGAGAATTCAGCTTTCAAGCCTCTGATCCTCGTAAAATTTCATTACACAGTAAAATTGGAGTTACCACAGCCTGGATTGTGTGGGGGAATATCTGTGTTCCTGCTTTTTCTTTCTTCTCTTTTCTTTTTTTTAAATCTTTTGTTTCTTTTCACTTTTTTTTTCCCCCTTCCTTTCTCTCTTTTTTTTTCTTTTCTTTCTTGTCGAGGCTGTGTTCTCATCCCCTATCCCGATTCCCGTACGTGAAGACAGCCTGGAAAGGTCATGCCACCCATAGTCTGGGGGGAGATGGATATATTCCTGTGGGAGCTGAGTGCTTTGGAGAGGAGCCAACAAACCCAAGGAGCTTCAGCCCAGAGGAGGGTTTTGTTGTGTGTGTGTGTGTGTGCATGTTTTTCAACAGCTCTAAGCAATTGAGCCTTGTTTTTCCTATTCGGCACTACGGATTATGGATGAATAAGCATAAAGATATCCAGGCAACATTAAAAAAAAACCCCACCTCTACCATATCCAATCTCTTAGTACAGTCCTGGCTTTGTGGTGTCCAACGCTGGGTTATTTGCCCAATAACTGAATTTCCTTTTCTGATTATTCGCATCACTCCAGGCACATTCAGGGTTTCAGAACAGCTCGACGGGAGCAGAAACTCCTCCTTTTCTTCCCCCATTCCCACCTTTTTTTTTCCCCCTCAGCTTATTTGAGCAGTGGCTGATGAAGATGCAGTGATTTCACACCGAGCTTCCCTGGGCCAGGAGGCACCTCTGGGGACATGCAGGGTGGAACAGCCCACGTGTCTCTCTGTGTTCTCCCATCTGATTTGTGCCAGCCTGCCTGGGGGAAGGCATGGTGCCTATGTTTTGTCCTCTCAACACTAACAATAGACAGAGTTGAACTGTGGGATGCCAGCAGGGTCCTGATTGCCATCCCCACACTGCTGCCATGTGTTGTCCCTTGTAAGTGGGCCATGGCCACATGGGTGTAGAGACCCACCTCTTCCTCCATGGCACAAAGGAGGATCCAACCTCCTCCAGCTTAGCTCCATATCTAGAGCAATTCAAACCAGTCTCTCCCAGTGCTCTGCATGATCCAAGGCCCCATGGCCCCGATTTCCAGCCAAGGAGAGCTGCCCAAAAGCTTCCCCTTGGGTGGCAAGTCCTAGTTTGAACCACTTGGCTCCTGCCAAGGAGAGAGGAGATGGGAGGCGGGAAAACTGCTGGAGACACAAGGGGAAAAGTCAGGGGTTTGAGGGACTTTCTGCTGGGTTTGTAGCCATGGATGTCTGGATGTTGCCAGTTCTGCTTTGTTTTCTCAAAGGTCCTTGCTGAAAACCTCCACCAGCCTCCCCACACAGGTAGGTCCCACAGCAGACAAGCATTCAGCCTTGGTTTCTTTCTCTTTTGGCTGCAGAACTCCATCCGCCACAACCTCTCCTTGAACAAGTCCTTCATCAAGGTGCCTCGAGAGAAAGACGAGCCAGGGAAAGGTGGATTTTGGAAGCTGGACCCCTACTATGCCAACCGGCTCAAGTACGGGACTTACAAAAAGCGGAGGATGTCTCCGGTGCAGATCCACCCGGCCTTCTCCGGGAGAGTCCAGAAAGAAGCACGGCACGTTGGCAGCCCGGCCTCTTCTTCCTGCAGCTCCAGCAACCTCCTCGAGGCCAACGTGGCATCTCAGCAGCTGCTCAAAGAGTTTGAGGAAAGCACCAGCAGCCAGAGCTGGAACCCCGTGGGTACCAAAGCGGGGCAGAAGCGCCAGCAGCCCTCGCCCCTGCCCACGGCCAAGGCGTCTCGGCTTCCCAGCTCGGCCCTGATGACCCAGGAGGAGCAGACTGAGCTGGGGTCACTGAAAGGTGTCTTTGACTGGGAAACTGTCTTTAACACCAACCTCAACGGAGATTTCTCCACGTTGGTGGATATGGAGCTCCCACCTCCCGTCAACGCTGTCACGTGCGACCTGGACTGGACAGGACAAGGGCAGCACATGGAGTGTCCCCAGGGGCAGGAGCAAGTCGCCACCGAATCCAACCAGTACAGCCTGGACTTTAATGAAACCCTCATGGCCACGACTTTCTTGGAGCATCCCTGGGATGAAGGGACAAGCGATTACCTCTCCAACTGTGTCAACATTGACCAGGTGTTTGAAGACATCGATGCCTCTTTGCTGGCAGATGTCATCAACCTGAGCAGTCTGGCTCGCCTCTTGTAAGGTGTTTGTAGGATGCTCTCCCCAAGCTGGGACTTACAAGGGACAAGATTTCCTAGAGATGCCCACGGTGACTTTTACCAGCTTCATTGTAAGGTTATTCTCAGAAACACCAGGGAAAGAACCTACCACCCCAGGAACTGCCTGCTGTGTCTCCAAAGGACACCTCAGAAGTCTCTAGTTTTTTCAAGAGAAGAAAGTCAACACTACTTATTTTTTTTTACATTTTACTTTAAAAAAATAAATGTGAATTATGATGGGTTCTTTTCCATCAGGGCTAAAATTACCTGCAAAATCCCATCTAAGACATGAGATTCCTGGTGGCTTAGGATTTGATAGACTCAAGTGCAATTTCCACACCTCTTTGTTTCTCTCCGTCTTTCCTTTTTCTGTCTCAGTGCAGTTGGTAGGTACAGTGTGATAATTAGCTGGTAAGAAAATGCAGGTCCCTTCTGGATTCTCCAAGTTCAACATCTCAGCTGATTTGTGCCTAGGGAAGAAGAAAAGGTTTATAAACTCAGCAAGTGTGCCTCTTTAGATGTTTTTATATAATCTATTATATATTATATATTCAAAGAAATCTATATTTTTTAGCACTAGAATTTCTTAAGGGGGGAGGGGAAGACTGGAAATGCAGTTTGAGAGTTGTTTTATATTTTCACTGTTTAAGGTTTTGTGTTCACTGTTCTGTAAAACAAGATCACACAAGGGAGGACTCAAGCACCAAGTTTTGTGAAGAATCCAGGAACTGACCCCTGGCAGGAGAGGAGCAGCAGGGACTGGGATGCTCCCAAAACCAGCTTTTGTATTTTTTGTACCCAAAACCCTTGCTGCAGTTGCCAAAGGGTCTGGAGCACCATGAACCCTCTCTTTCACCCACTGACATAGCCCCTCTCTGCTTTTTTTGGTCCGAGACTGTTGCTCTTCACTTCTCCAGCTCTTCCATGAGGTTCTGAGTGCAAGGAAAATCCCATGGCTGGCCCTCAGCTGGTGGTGATGGAGCCACTCCACATGGAATGCTCCCAGGTGGGACTGAGAAGGAGAGAAATCCACATCCAGAGCTCAGGCCAAAGACTGCATGCAACAGCCTCTGGGGACAGTGGAAATTAATTCCCATCCAGCCAGGAGAGACCTTGGGATCCCCACGAAGAGAAGCTTTGGCCCTTGGCTCGGTGTGCAGCCAGAGCGTGGAGGGGTCAGTGCAAGGTAACTTGGAAATATTTTGGGAGCAGAGCTAAACTCTGCTGAAACTTGACTTGAAGCTCTCAAGAACCAGATTCTTTGCCTCTGCTTTGCTCTAGGCTGTGAGAGGTAGAGCAGCTATTAGGTAGGAGCAAGTAGAAGCTGGAATTTTAGTGGTGTGTCTTAGACTTGGCAAAGGAAATTTAAGATTGTATTTAGATTCTGGTGTGGTTACAAAAGCACTTAGGAGGGGCTTTGGGGTCTGTGTAGTTGTTTGTATTGACAATGTTTCTTTTTACTTGCTGTTTTTCTTCTGTTTTCCTGCTTTGGGGATTATGTTGGAGAACTACAGAATTACTTGTGCAATTTAACGTTTTTTTTCATGCAAAGTTATTTACAAATTTTAAAAAATAATAATAAAGAAAAAAAAATTGAGAAGAAAAACCCCTTTTGCTTCCTTGTTTCCTTTCCCCAGCCCAGCCCTGTTTGTAAACCCAGACCCAAGACACAGGAGCTCTCACCCACTTGCCCAACTGTGCAAATTCCCTGTGGGGAAACTGAGGCACGAGCCAACCTCAGTGAAACAATGGTTACACACCACCTGTGTGACACAAGGTTGGCTGTGCCTGGTGTCCTGAGTCCTGGGAGCTGCTCCAACCCTGGGAATAACCATCCCTGGCCCTGCAGGGAGCTCCTGGGGCTGCCAAGTCCCTCTGCATGTGCTGTGTCTCCACCTGGCCCTGTAGATGCTCCAAGATGCCCAAGTGGCTTCAGGGCCCTTTTGGGTACAAGGTGGGGAGAGGATCTGCACAGAGATCCCCCTCCAGACCCTGCCTGGGGCTGCTCCAGCTTGGTGCTTTGGGTGCATGTCCCAAAACCCAACTCCTGCATGTCCCAACCCTCCTGAGGACACAGCCCCTTTCTCCCCGGAGCACCCGAGGAGCTCCCTGTCAGCTCCCCAGTGATCTGCTGCATCCCCTCAGCACCAGGACCTCCAGCAGCCAGTCCCAGAGCTGCTACAGCTGCTCCCAATCCAGCCAATCTCAACCCAAAATAAGGCCTGGGCTCAGGACAGACACCTGCCTTGGTTTGTGTTTTGTGCTGGGAAGGCAGGACGCTGACCTTGGGGAAAGATGGGGTTCCTGGGGGAAGAGCTTTGATGGATCTGAGGGGAGGTGGAATTTAAAGGCAGATCTGGGCTTTCCTTTCAGCTTTGGGATATTTGGGGCCATGAATACCAGAAGGCATTAAGGAATTCCTTGTCCTGGCTTCTCTCTGCTCCTTGTTGGAAGCACTGGAAGAGCTGCTCCCTTCTTCACCCCCCCAGTACTAGTGGGCACTTCAGGGCTGCAGAAAGCTGGCAGTCCCCCTGCCCCTCAGACCCCTTCTTTAATTTGTTTTGCCAGGCTCAAACACGTAGTACTGTTTTCAAACCCTCTGGAAAAGAGAAGCCTCCAGTCTCCCCACCCTTCCTGGGGACTTAAAAAAACAACCTTGCCAGGAAAAAATATTCCAGCCTGCCAGAGCCAGCCGAGGGGTTTAAAGCAAGAAAGGGTGAATATAAAGGAGGCAGCAGGCGAGGCCTGAAACAACCTCGTTTTGTTCAGCAGCTGAAAGCAACCAAACCGACTTGGACGTGAATTTTCCTTTTTTTTTTTTCCGTGAGATGGTTTGGAGGGGGTGGTGTTTTTTAGGAGCGGCCAGGAGGTGCAGGAGCTGGGGGTGCTCTGGGTGGTGGCATCGCTTTCCCAGGGGCGCGGGGCACAAAGCGGGGCTGTGCTCGGTGCCAGGAGGGACCGGAGCCCGGTGCCAGCAGGGAGGTCAGGACCCAGACCTGCCCGGGCTTGCTGGGGCTGTGGCTGGGGCTGCTCCAGCCCCACGGGCTCGCCCGGCACAGGGGCAGTGCCAGGATGGGGACCCGGCGCTGGGAGTGTCCCCCCCTGCTACAAGCAATGAGCACTGCAGAGCTGGATGCGTTTTTTGGGGCATCCACCAGCACCCATCAAAGCGGGTCTGGGAAGAACCCAGCTGCATAAACTCTCTGCAAGCTCAGCTTGCTGTCCTAGTGAGGTCCTTCCCCAGGTGGTTATTAAGCACATGGCAGTGATTCCTTTATTATTTATTTCTGCTATTTCCCCAGCCATCCCCTCATCCATCATCCCTCCCTGATGGGCAAACATTGACACCTCAAACCAATCTCCCGTTCACAGAGGGAGAAAAAAATATACACATAAGCCCTTCTTTTCTCCCCCTTTCTTGCCGTGTCTTTCTTTTCCTTCCATTGAGTGTAGGGCTGGCATAGAGCCATTCTGGCAACAGCCGGCTTTCACTTGCTAATCATCCTAAATATTGAAAATCAACCCTAGAATAAACAGCTCAAAGATTGGGGCCATCTCTGCTCTGTTTGGAAATGCTAATCTCACTGCCTTTTGTTTTCCTTGTGTGGATTTGGTGCCTTGAATTTGAGGAGGTCACAGCTCATGGGTTCTCCCTTCATCCTCAGATTTCTAAAAATTTTTTCCCCTCTCATCATAAAAAAATTCAGCCCATTTTAACATCCTAGGGTGGGATGGATGGTAAGGGGGGAGAAGGGGGAAACAGGATGGAGGAGGGTAGGGAATGGACTCGCCTTGCATAGCAATGAATGAACCTCCAAAGTTTGGGAAAAACCAGGTTCCCAAACTTGCATCCAGGAGTTCACATGGATGTGAAATCCCTGGGGAACCACACTCAAACAGGGAGACAGCAGGTCGCTGGTGGGGATGGGATGGGGATGGCACCGGGGCAGCCTGGCACTCACACACAGCAGGGCTTGGGGACACCTCAGGGACTCCCTGCCCTGTGACGCTGATTTTTTTAGTGTTTTATACCTGATGTGCTGGAGGTGTCACAGCAAGCTCCAGACAGGCTGTGGTGGACTTTGGATGCAAACCCCTCTGTGCAGGGCTGCAGGGTGCTGGGCGAGCTGGCTTTGAGAACAGAGAGGTGGCCAAGCTTTTCCAGCAGTGACCTTGCCCTGCCAGCAGAGCCCTGCGGCGCTCCCACAGCCCGGATCTCACTCAGCACCCTGATGGGGAAACTGAGGCAGGGCTGATGGGGGTCAGAACATGATTCTCTCTCAGGCACGCCTGCACCTATTTCAGTCCTGCCCTTGTGCGGTGCGTGGGTGCTGCACCCCCTGGCAGGGGGGAGCACATCCAGCAGAAGTCCCCTCGGGTGCCCACGTCCCTGTGCGCCCCTGGGAGCCCCGGGATGGGTCAGTGGCCGTTGCCAGCGGCTGTTCCTGGCTGGCACAATGTCCTGGCAGGCCGGGGCTTGCCCTGCGGTGAGGAGGGGGGGAGTGCCAGCCTCCACAATGCAACACCCCCTGCGTAAGAGCCGTCACATGGACACGCTTGGCTGCGCCTTCCTCCTCCTCATCCTCAGCCCCACCGCCCCCTCGATGCGTGCCCGGGTAGGGGGCTGCAGCCCCACGGGGCTCCTGCTCCTGCAGCCCGGCTCACGCCGTGGGAAGGGGTCCCTGTGGGCATGGGGGGACACTCCAACCCCCAGTGGAGGAGCTGAGCTGCCGGAGCCGTGCCAGCATCGTCTCCTGCTCTGGGAAGCCACGTCATGCCAAGGTCGAAACTTGGCCGGTTTGCAAACAAGCACCAGGGCCACGGGGATTTCTTTACAAAGGCTGTTTTTCCAGGTGATTTATTTCCAGGTTTGGAGTATTAGGACCATCCCATGTCTTAAGATTGTGGGGGTTTTTTCACTGCCATCATGACAGGGAGAAAATGGCTTTGGAAATCCAAAGCAAACACACTCCTTTGGTGTCTGACTCCTTGGGAGGGTCTTACATCCCTCAAAAAAGGTGGAATCAGGGGCAGGCTGCGGGCTGTGCACTGCCTGGACACATCTCTCCTATGGGTCCTGCCCTGGGCAGAGCCAAGCATT